AGGACAGAGAGGGAGGGGCAAGGTTCAGCTCTTGGGATTAAAGTCAGTTGTCCCTCGATCGGAATGCTGTTGTCCGAGAGGTCTGCATGAATGCCAAAGTCGTTCTGATGTTCGACGTAAGAGCAACATAAATGGCAGAAATAATTGAGAATGGCCTGAAAGAAGAAAACGACATTCGGCAAATAAAAATTGAAACGATATTCATTGAGCCGTAGTTGACATGGAGGATGTCTAGGGAAACAGACACCTGTTCCCAATATGGCTAAATATAACTTAGGTAGAATGGATATATGTCTAAGCTAACACTGATGGTTCGTCTCTGTCGCTTATTTTTTCCTGGTCTCTTATATGATCGTCTGTTAGGTAAAGTGTGAAATCACCTCAATTATATGGCACAACACTTTTCAGCGTTTTGTCGATGATTTAGTAAGTAGCCTGTGGCTTGTGGTTTAAAATTAGGAAAACAACTGGTCATCTACGGTTTTTGGCCCAGCGTGGAAATTGTTTCTCATAAAGGAGAAAGACGAATACAGAACGAGATTTATGAAGAAAGTACTTTTATTGTTAAAAAGGTTTCCTTCGCCTTTGAATCACATCTTGTCAATCAGTTCTTTGTTCGCTGTTCGGTTTTTTCATATCTTTTTTTAACCTTGGAGTTGTTTAATTTTTCTGCAATGTTTTGAAATTCTTTTACAATGACGGTTTTAATTAATTAATGGTTACGCACGTGTGTCTTGGTGTGTTCCTTTGTTGTGGCGGAATTAAAGGGCGGCGCTTCTATACGCTCCAATTTGTTAGCCGGTCATTCGTGAAAAAACACTGTGTTATTTTTTCATTTGGAATTTAGCGAGTTACCAAGACGATTGTTTCGCTGCGGAAATGATTATCATGTGTCCAATAATGATAAGCAGTCTTCCAATGAATCCAACTGATATTATACATCGAAGTTTTAGTTCGTTATAGTGACGAGTATGATGTCCCTTATTGATGCAAAAATTACCACCGTTTTCCTTGTTTGTAATTCACCACATTCCAACTCTTTGAGCTCTTGATATTTTGGGTGTCAGTGCCCCTCATAAATTTGCCCCCAGAGTTGGCGAAAAACCATAAAATCTTCCCTTGAAACGTTTGTTCGTGACCATGAACTCTTCAAAATAAACCGCTTGGTGGGAAGAACACTTTTCATGATTTTTCCCTCATCGATTATCTAGAAACATGTGCGACATCGAAACTTATTCTGGTCGGGTATGAAGGCAGCATTTGGCAAAGGTTCTCGCTGAAACATGCCACACCATAGCAGTTCTGTCCGCCGTACGACATCATAGCAAGGTCACAATGTTCAACGTCGCAGCATTTCGCGACACATTCCTTCATGTCTTGAACTTTACCAAGGTGTCTAAAATGATCAGGTTTGAGAGAATCATCGGTCAGTTGTTTGTCTGACTCGGTAGGCGATGAACACTTGTGTTTGGGAACAGAGTTGCAGTCAACCACGAAAACAACTGCGCGGAAAATACATGAAGAACCAAAAATCAGAAAATTAAGGGCGCAAAGAATTATAATATTGAATATGACAACATTAACCTTACCATGAACAAAAGCAAGAAACGCAAGTATAGGTTTCAAGATGGTCATGTCCTTTTTCTGTTTGTCAAATTTTTCACGCTCTTAGTCAAGCGCTGGAGATGGACACTTTACCCAGCCAGCTGTTCATGCGATAATATCGATATCTGGCACGCGTAACACCGCTGTTAAAGGTCACAAGGTTGAGTAAATGAACATGTTCATTGGCTGGTTTGGTTGCTGGGTACCTGGGTGCGAATTAGGTACCAAACGTTTATTGTCTGAGAATCAGTTTTTTTAAACACGGATTTTCACTGATGAATAGGTTGTGTTTGTGCCCCTAGCTGTCAACTGATCTGACAGTTCGTTGCTTTTTCGCTATCATTTGTGGCCACAATTTTTGAAGAGGCTGTCATGGTGACGCCTGCATCCTTAACAAGTGAGTAACTACCAGTGAACCGATCAGCTTATTTGTGCAAACTGTTATCCGGCCACTCTTAATCTTATCACGATTCGTAGCTTTTTTATAAACCATCTAAGTCAGGCATTGTTCGATAGGGTTTAACTCGATTCATCGATTCATCAAGGAAAAAAGGCATTTTGTTACTGAATTGTAAATCTGTGCCCGTTTGAGTCTAACACTGTCTAAATATCCCTCCTTACAATCACCTATAAGTACATTCGAATCCTTGTTTCACAGATGCTCCGCCAAACCATCATGGCTGTACAATTTTTAACAAGTAGCCTGGTTGACTTGGCAAGCATCACTAAGACACTGGTACTTATACGATATTTTAGATATGCTTGTTCTTGCGGAAACACAAACCAACATAGTTTTCCACGTCCTAACAGTTATCGATTGACTGGGTTACGCGTCCTGTGAGTAGGACCTTTCAACTTGCGGTGAAAGAAATGGTTACTGAACGAATTAGATTCCACTGTGATCTTAGTAAGATTTTCCTCTATATCGGCGTTTTATTCTACATGGGTAAGTGGATAACCAAATCAGCAATGAGATTCATCATTGGAATGAAAATATAGGATTAATGCATCGATGAATATATTTTGCATTAAAGGGTTTTTTGGATGTTCGAATTCCGCACGCGCGCTGAAACAGTGTCTTCCAGTAGCCGTCTTCAACAATGCTGTACTTTTAACTGCTCAGAATGCTTTAATAATAAAGCGGCAGCTCGGACATCTCAAGAACCTTTCCACTTGTGTGTCGCACTGCTGTAGAAGTTCAAACTGTGATGTTGCCTTGTTCGATGGCGTTACATGTTATGGCGTGTTTTGTTCAACGGAAAACGTTTGCCATTTTGAAACAGCACGGGAAGGACAGGGGTCATATCAGGCCGTGTGGTTAAATAATTTCTTTGCAGGTAATCAGTACACTCTTTTGAGAAAATTTGACATTCCTGTTCGAATTATGATCTGTCGAAAAGATTTTGAAAAGAATACTGCAGGTCCATCGCAGTTTGCTTCGTTTGCAACGCGTTTGATTTAAAACAACTCTCCTTCATTAAAACTGACGATGACAGAAAATTAAGGAGTGATTTGAAACGGAAAATGTAATTTTTTTAAGTGAATTCCTATTAGATATTACAAAATAAGTGTCTGATCTACCTGGGCGGGTACCAGCCACACCACTCAATTGCTCTGTAGTTTCTGGTTGGCTTCATTTATTATTATCAGAGACAGTTATTTTATATCGATGGAAGCTTTAGAAAAAGGTCATCGATTACTTAATGGTAAAAACTTAAAACAAGATAAAGAAGCTCAGTTAAACGTTCCTACTTTAGGAGATCGCACTGAATATACGTGTCGTTGTAAAGGAATATTGATTTTATTTACAATAATATATCTTCATATTGATCCTCCACACAGGCGCATCCTCAACCGTTTTGAAAAACGTTTTCCTGTCAATAGACTTGAAGTTGAGTGGACAGTAGATGCTTGATGTTGAGCTCAATACCAAATTCCATGTCCACACGGAAGTGTAATTAAAGATGGACTACATATATACATATATATACCATATATATGTATATATGTAGAGTATATATATAGAGTATATATATTTATATGTATATGTGTATGTGTGTGTGTTTAAAATCCCCTGATGAGTGGGCAACCACGAAACAGGCTTGTCGGGATGAAAGCGTAGTTCATTTGTTTCTTTCCTCCACAGACATATACTTCGCTCTACATTAATGTATTGAGCACTGTTTTACGAATATCAACGTTCTACACTTTATATATATATATATATATATATATATATATATATATATATATATATATATATACGGTATAATTTGGATATATCAACAAAGTTGGCCACCGTAACGATTACAAAAGCTGACGTTTCGAGTCTAAATCCCACAAGGATCAACGAACGCTTTTCATTCCACTAAATTATTCTTGTTTTTCTCGTTGCCATGTTCCCACCAATAACGTAGCTCCATTCTCTGCCTTTAAAAGCACACACAACCCACAATTCCTCTATTCGCTCCGACGAAGGGCTAACGCTCGAAACGTCAGCTTTTGTAATCGTTACGGTGGCCAATTTACCACTTCAACTTTGTTGATATATCCAAATTATTTCCTTACTCCCACCAACGCAGCCCCAAACAGTTTCTTTCGAAACTATCAGCCTTTATTCATATATATACGGTAGACAGCACTGTTTCGGTCTTCTGGGTCTCGTCAGTGTAGTGCGGTTCGCGCAGTTGCACGACATGACTATATACATTTGTCTCGCGTGTTGTCAGCTTTCCCAAAGTAATTCTCATTTCTCCACTGCATTACTTAGGAGATGACAGATTCCTGGAGAGAGGAGCTGGACTGGGATCGATACATCCTCCAAATTCAAAATTAAAAGAGCCTCAGCTTTCATTTGAAGAAGGGAGAAACAGAAATGAATCAAACATCAAGGGGGGTAAATTTAGGAAACAGTATTATCATCAAATAAAGCGGATCTTGTCAGCGAAACGAAAAAGGACAGAATCTAGAATAAACAGGAAAAGGCACGAAACAATTTCTCGTCTGAAAGACAAGAAGATGAACAAGAAGGAAACTAAACTGGATAAATTTCAAATATTTCAAAAAAGGAAAAAGAGTTTTAATGATGATAAATGCAACATCAGACGAATCACAAATAATACCACCTTGTACTCAGGTATGGATGCTGGGAAATTCAAATTACACGGAAAATCAAAGGGAATTTCAGCCTGTGCAAGGCTGTGTTGTCAAGACCGGTTGTGTGATATCGCCGTTATCATGACTGATCGCTGTTACACTGTGCAATGTTATAGCATGGAGGACTGCCAGTCAAAAACGTCAGAGAGCAAAGCTCCTAATATTGTAATAGCATATGTTAACAATTCCAGGAAAGTTTTCAGCGATGAGAGCAGACATAACAGTGAAACTGATCATAGGAAGCGAGAAGAAATGAGCAAGAAAACCATGATGCCCAATCCTAATGGAGGTAATAATTAGTTACAAATATATTGCACGACCAAATAACCGATTTATACTTAACACCAGGTATTATTTACGCTGCAATTTCACTGCTGAACGCAAAACGTTTCTTTTTTAGCCAATGATCCAGCCCACCTAGTTATGGTTAAAAAATACTGATGGGTGTTAGATTTATGATTTCAGCTGACATAGGCGATACTCTTGAAAAGATCAAGTTCCTTAACGGCCCATCTGTTGTAACTTCAGACATGAAATTCAGTTTCCTCCAGCAGTGCGCTCTTTATGTTGAACCAGAAAACGCGACAAAACCTGTTCATGGCTGGGTTACTCCACGATATTCCCCCGTTAAATACCTTTATCAGGCTCCCAGGGGTACACCTCCGCCTCTTGGAATGAGATCTGCAGTGCCACTTGGGGGAATGGGGACAGGTAAGATAGTTGAAAAACGACTAAAAACAGTTGATGTTGTAGATGAGTGCTATTAGGAAACTTAGAGTGTGTTGGGTCCTATCATCTCCTTAAAGTAATTAGAGGGTCATAACTTCTATTATCCAGCGGTGATGAGAAAAGAAAAAACCTTTCAGCGAGAGGTTGATATCTTGATGTAACAAAGTATACTGCAAAAACTATAGCAACAGGAAGGAGTAATAGGTCTTGGAACTTGGAGTTGACCTTGTTTTGGAACCCTGGGAGGTGGAAAAGCATTGCATTGCCTAGAAATTCAGAGAACTTCAGCTTCTTCTTTATTTCAAAGGATCATTAGAGCTTAGAGCCGACGGTTCGTTTCATGAATGGACCCTTGAGAACCAGTCTCCAGGTGGATCGGCCAAACTCGGCCCAGGTGCATTGGATAAAGCAGTCCTTGGTGTACGAGTCAGTTCGTCGTTGGGAACAAAAGCTGCCCTCCTGAGGACACACCCTCCCCCTGGGTATCCTGGTGTGAAGGGCTTGTCATACTCAGGTTCTTTTCCGGTGTCAAGACTTAGTGTTGAGGATGAAAGATTTTTTGGAGTTGAAATGGATTTATTTGCTTATGGCACTCTCCGTGCAAGAAAAGCAGAATTATCATTTGTTCCTGGAGTAGTTCTTACATTGAATGTTAAGAATCCCACTGATAAGGAAGTAGATGTTTCTTTCCTGTTTAATATTCCTCTTGGTGAACAACCAGGTATGGTCATTGGACTTCAGTTGTGTAGAAAACAATGTCAGTTATGTGTATCGGAACATGTAGGAATGTTCAGGTAACTTTCATAACTGATTCAAAGCCAGAGCGGTGAGAAAGTTTTAAAAAAATGTCTAATTGAAGAAAAACTTTCTCACTTCCGTAATGCCAGTTTATAAATGAGATCGTTCGCCTTTGGAAAAAAACTATCCACTGATTACATTTGTTCATTTATGTATTTAAAACAATATTACACAAACTTACATGCTTTGTGATTTATGATTATAACAAGTAAGAAGTTAGGCTGATAGTTTCTAAAGAAACTGTTTGGGGCTGCGTCGGTGGGGATAACGAAATAATTTCAATATATCAACAAAGTTGAAATGGTAAATTGGCCACCGTTACGATTATAAAAGCTGACGTTTCGAGCGTTAGCCCTTCGTCGGAGGGCTATATATCAATATTTCAATATATCAACTTTGTTGATATATTGAAAGTAAGAAGTTATACCGATTGAGGTGGGCAAAAACGTATTGAAGGTCGACTACACCTTCTGGTGGACATTAAGTCATAGTCTTTTTTGATAATCAGCAAGTGATTTTTTTCCAGACACGTCAAGAAGAGGCGACAACATTGGAACCAGAGTTGATGTGGTGTCTTCAGCTCAGTGTGCAGCTATGTGCAACGAGGATGAACATTGCATGGCCTGGAGCTATGAAGAGGACAGGTGTTCATTAAAAGATGCAATGCCGCTTCACGCTTATCAGGAGGGTGTCACTTCCGGTCAGTTGCTAAAACTTGGGGTTACTGGGTAAGCGCTACAGCTGTCAGTGGGACTGTGGCGCGAGAATCTTCTCCGATGTTTTTTTTTAGAGCAACTCAAAGATAATTCCATGCAATCTATCTAAAAAGATGTCTGCTTGATTTAGCACCTTAGAAAGTAAATAGGAACGTACCCACCGTAAAATTTTCTCTGGTGTGACTTAGAGCGTAACGCATGGTGCTTTGTGTCACTCGTTTATGGTGAGTGAATTTTAGAGTCTTTGTTGATTCAAAACACCTTCTTTTAAATATACCTTCTAGGTGTCAAGGGACGATGGAAAACAAAGGGAGAAATGCTTACTTGTCAAAGGCCTAAAAATTTCCCAAACAGTGGAAGTACTACACTGCTGTCAATCAACACAAACAAACCAACATTTGCTGTCACAGATGACTTCCGGTCCGTTTGGGAAGCGTTTGAATCGAGTGGAAAACTAAGAAAGAGGATAGACTCTTCTGGCTTTCATGGCACGATAGCTGTAAAAGCAAGACTGCCTTCTGGTATAAGTGAGACACTGACATTCATTTTAGCCTGGTATTATCCTTACCGAGACCACTCAGGACAAAGCGTTGGGCAGTATTACAGGTAATCTAATTGAAACAGTTCCATTTGTTTTGGATTGCCACGAACTGACTAACGTAATTCAAGTTATCGAGGGTTTCAGTCGCTTGGGAAATGACCCGGGACGAAATTTACATTGCTTCGGTTTAGTGTGCGTTTCAATTATCGAAAATTTGTGTTTATCACTGAAATTAGAATCGAGCGACTAATATTTGAAGGAAATCCCAGGGAATTGGAATTTGGTTTGAAGGAACGCCATGATCAAATTAACGGGGTTCGAGTATTGGGGGTTGACAGCGTCCATTACCACCGATGATCGAACCCTTCGACAAATATATGGAATTTATTAAGAGCTGAGCATGGAAACGTATTCGTAGGTGAGAAGATTTTTGACAAAGGAGAAAGCCTTGGGCAATTATTTACTATTCAGCCAGTCCAGCGTGACAGGAAAAGTCGATCTTCGACGATTTCAGGTTCAGGACCTTTTTTGCAAACCGTTTCTTGTGGGATAAACATGACTCAAGTCGTATAAGTTCTGACTCGATTAATTCAAAATTCTTTGAAAATCTTCTGGTGTGTTGTTCGGCCATGTTAATCGACAACACCTTACTACTGTACTTTTCGAGGGAAATGAGTTTTAAAAAAGAATGGAAAAAACTTTGTTCGATGGAAGAAATAGGTGAGATAGAATAAGGAAAAAAGAAAATAACACTTGTGCGACGAGGATGGGATTCGAACCCACGCGTGCAGAGCACATTGGATTAGCAGTCCAACGCCTTAACCACTCGGCCACCTCGTCTGATATACATTTTGGGGTGAAATTTAAATATTTATTGTATTGTTCGTAGTAAGTGAGTCTTTGAATTGACAGAGTGGAATTCGAAAAATGTGGCACATCATCGAAAAATTGAAAACCATGATATTTTGCGCAGAGATACCTTAGAAACGTGGTGAGGTTTTTTCCCAGACTTGCTTCTTTATCCTAGAAAATTCCCGAAAACTGAAACCAGCGTCGGTAGCCGTAAAATGGCGGAAATCAGTACCCTGAGTAGAGGCAAATGAACTTTGCTCATGAAAAGTGAAAAAGAAAGCAAACTCGTATCAATTGACAAATTTGTAGAGGAAGGTACGATATTTCACCAATATTTCAAAATCCATGCAAATATCGCATTTTGTAGCAAATGTTCAATTATCATTTTCACCATGCGGTATAACTCAGAATCGCTTCAGGTTAATCTCATGATAAGTGGAAATAGTGTTTTTTCCGAGGATATAAAATTTAATTTGGGGCTTTTCATTCCCGCATGGAAAAACCAGGCTGAACTTTGTGAAAATCGCAACATCGTCATTTACGTTACGACATAATCTAATTAGGCACCCCGTGGTTAAATCCGAAATTCCAAGCACATTTTAGAAGTTAGCAGCGTGGTCGATCAGGAAATCAATACAGTAAGCTAGCCTTGCATAGCCAACCACGGCAGATTGGTTTTTATCTCTGCTTTCGTTTTAAATTCTCATCCATTTCCCATGGAGGGAATTGTTTACAATAACCATGGCTAACCGTGACCTGAAGGGAGTCTGTTATACCGCGCGCAGGGTGAAAATCATAAATAGAAGCCGCAGAAAGTTCGTGAAAAGAAAAAATAGAAGCCGCCCTTGAATAGAAGCCGCAATAGAAAGTAGATCAGTAAAAAACGAAAAATTGTCTCATGTTTTTTACGTCAATCCCGCTTTTGATTGAAAGCTGTCTTTGAAACAATTATATTTCTGTATGTTACTTCATAAATTGGAACGTTGGTTAAAAACAGGGCATTTTATCCAACTTTAAAATTCAATTTCTTCGCGTTAAATCATTTCCCCAAAAAATCCTTTGGACATGTAAAAGAACTATTACTCGGCTTTCGAAATCCAGACTTTTCGACGTATTTCATTTAGTACCACAT